TTCTATAAGCCCGGGCTTATAGAATAGGGGCTACAGGGTACAGGGCTGACGGAGCGGCTCATCCGTTTCTACCACCCGCGCGCCTTCGTCTCCGAGCGGGGTCGGCCCTCTTCCGTTCCCGCTCAGCGATCTCCTTCTGGAGCATGACTGCTTCGCAGAAGGAGACCAGTGCCGTCCAAGCAGATTTCTCCATCAGTGCAGCCGCCACTACAACTGGTGGAGAAAGGTCCTGCCCGAACTTTTGGATGTCCAGTGGTGGAAACCGAGCAAGGATAGTGGCCGCCTCAAAGGTTATCGTTCGATACCCTCGTGCGATCCTGATGGCTATTCTTCGCTGCAGGCTATAAAGTTTAGACCTGCAGCGTCGGACACCCGTTAGTCGGTGAGACCATACGGGCGCCCCGTAGAGGGCCATCGCTCGCACGACTCCCGCATAGAGGCGGCGAACTCCCTCCCTGGGGCCCCCGAGATTAGGCAGTAATTTGTGCATAGCACCTACTACCTTCTCGATACGGGGGTGACTATCCAGAGTGAGACCAAGATATTTCATCACCGGTCTCACCTGGATCTGCACGTCACCCACGCGAACCGACCAACTGGGTGGATCCTTTACTCTTCGGAGTTTATGGAACCACAGCGCCTCGGTCTTATGAGGCGCTATCCGAAGTCCCAGCTCGTGAATTTTACCCACGACGCATGCCACCCCAAGCTCGGCGAGCCGACTGGTGCTCTCGAAGCTCTCCCCTTCGGCAATTACCAAGGTGTCATCTGCATAGCAGATAACGCTTACACCGGCGGGGAGAACAATACGCAGGACTGCGTCGTAAGCGAGGTTCCAAAGCAATTTGGAGCATTGAGGAGGCAAAAGCCTAGAGAATTTATTGTGTTAGCGTTCAAAAATTCTTATATTTAAACGTACATGTAATTTTTTATGTGTGTCGTGTCATTCTCAAAGATCAAAACTTACCAAAACATTTGAGGTATCATTAGAACTTTTAACACGATCGTCGTTTTCCATTTATTAACCTGACCATAGAAATGACATTTCAACGTTCTAGTCAAAACTGGGTCTCGGAATGTCTGCATGTTCATAATCGTGACCATCGAATGGATTCAAGGGGCTGACGATTGATCCCCAGAGCACTGATCTCAATTTAAATGCCACCATAATTGTATGCCCGGTAGGAGATTGAAGGGGCAGTGGGCCCATTCTCGGGGAAAGTTATGCACATGACCTCCTATTGCAGAAAATAATATCGACGATTAAAACATCCACATAATCGTTATTTATATCCGGGAACCATAATTTGTACAGACATTGTGTTAGAGCTCTATAATACCAAGCAGTTTTACCTACAAATCAGTGTTAGTTTAAATTACATTTTTTTAAGCCTGAAGGTTGCAAGCGATCTGGCGGTTTACCTGATGTTAAGTGATAACCGCTGCCCATTGACATTTGCAACAACCGTCGGGTTGCAGATGCGTTGCAACGATACGTTATTACATAAGGTTGCAACTGAGGTTGCAACTCACTCACCGGACGAAACGTAGAACTATCCACTAAACGCCGATCTTGATCGGCAATATTGTGCCTATATTGTTATTACGGAAAAAGCGTATTCTCCGTTTAAAACTAAGCGTGTTAAACACTATACATATACCCCATTTTATTCCTTACGTTTGTTGGAAAGTAGAAAAAATTTAGGGGATTTAATCAATGGTATATTTGAAAAAAATTAAAAATTTATATAATAATTAGTACGTTCGTCACTGAAATTTAAGCATTTATTTAAGAGTATTATTTAAATTACGGTTTTGGTGAATAATCTGAGCATAGTCATAAAAACAGTACAAGAGTGGAATATAGGTTTCTGAAACTCAACGCGGACTAGCGTTACCGTTGTTACCGGGATCTCCTCAAAATTGCTATTTCGTAAGCGCGTTTTGCTTCGCATGTTGAAAGCCTTTATACCTACGAATAGGCTGTGGAAATTTCTTATATTATTCATGCGTATTCAGAGATAATTTTAATAAACATGAATAAATATCTACTATAACATAGAAAATATAATTAGACATATTTTCTACGCCACGAACGAAGGAAATTGACAAACAAAATGGTATTTGATCTAACACCCAAATACGGAACAATTGATAGAGGTTTAATAGAAGATCAGCTAATACTTTCTTCTATACCCATTATTTACCGAAAGTAAGTGAAGATGACCGCCTAGGTGAACATTTATGAATAAAATTGCTGATGTATGAAGGAAGAGCAAAGTAACTCAGGAGCACGTGGACCCAACATTTTTGATATGCAAAAAATAAGACATTTGATTGTAGAAATCCTTACTTACTTCCTATTACGTTGAGATGCGTAATTATGTATGTATTTAGATTTCTTCTCCAACCCAAAAGAAGGAAATTTGATCGTAGAAATCCCCCCTACTCCATATTCCGTTGAGAGTCGTTTTTATGTATGTAATAATTCAACTTGCTTCTTTTTCAAGTTTAGTTCAATTGCCGTAGTCCTCGTGTCAAAAGTTATCTGAGAAATGTATACAGGCACGAATTTATTGTTAGGCTAATTTTTCTTAATTTATTCTACGGGCTGCTTCATTAGGAGTTTCGTGAAAAGAATTACAAACGTGAAATTAAAGAAGAAACTAAAGAAAATTACTTTTTAGCCACATTTGGTTTAGATTTTAGGCAATTCCTGTTCTTTCGTCAAAATGATTCTGTGTGTTACCAATTTATGACTTCTCGCCTCACCTATTATTAACAGAGTTTCTCGACTTCCAATGTTTTCTAAATCTATTCGGTTATAACTGCATACCAGGTTCTACGTCTACAGAGCTATTGTGAGAGTTAAACAGATAAAATACTACAGAAATACAAAGCCGAAAAGGCAGTTTTGTTAATGCTCTAACCTGAGCTAACGTAGTGCGTGTGTGTCGAAATTTCGAAATTACATCTAAACTTTAATCTGAATTTAAAAACTTTATAATGATATCTGTGATACGTAAACTTTAATGATTAAGTAATTTACAAGTGTAAACCTTAATGATTAGTGTGTTGAATACATATTATATGTACCTTGAATAAAATTCAGATTTTATTTAGTATTTTAATGATTCGTCTGGCCTAAGGCACAAATTTAGGGATGAACCAGGTTTGTTTTAGTTAATAGATTCACTGATATGTAATTTGTGTGGTGTAACAGATTATAAAGCTTTCATTTTTTTTGTGATGCATGCAAACTTATGGTTATGAGTACAATGTCTTTTAAATCCTGTGAATACAATCTGCTAATAACGTATCATCATCCCATATCAGTATATCGGCCAAACCTAAATACGCGCAATCCGTTTTGAAGAACTACGCTTACTTACAGAACTTCTACAAGAACACCTGGCTACCAAATATTGTGATATTTGATTTGAAAAAAAATAAAACCATGAAATATTTACCCAAATAGTATCTTATTTGGAGTCTTTCGTGTATATAATTAAACTGTTGTTTGTTTTGGACCATTCCATAACTCGTGGCCGCTCGGGTTTTTTCCAATGAATTTTATAGGCTTCCCGCTTATGCTTTTAAAATTAGAATTTGTTTTCAGTTCCTTTTATTAAATGTCAAGGTGTTTAATGAAGCGCTGTTTGGAATGAGTGAGACGAGAGGAACCCTTAAGTTTCATAGATGAATATCATAACAAATGCAAGTATTGCATATAGGCCATACTTTTATGGCTTATCGTGGCTCCCAAGTGTACCTAATATATTTGCGGCCGCACGGATCTGACGGAGCTGTTCATGCTGGGTAAGCTGGCGAGGAAACTGAAGGAAATCGGTTGAGAATCAAGAATTGATGTCCTTAAATTGTCTGAATATTTATGGCTCGTTTTCTCTTGTACAGACAAAAGGAGGAGGCTCTCATTGATGTCCTAAAATTGTCTGAATGGCTCGTTTTCTCTTGTACAGACAAAAAGAGGAGGCTCTCAATTTTTTTTATTTTTTTTGTTGTCTCAGAACTTCGTCATTTATGAACTGATATTGAAACTCTTGCATTGGGTTCGGTTTAGCGCCCATGGGTCAATATTAATTTCATTATTATTGGACCTTGAAATTTCGGAGAAATATCAGGGAGCACCCCAAAATTATATAGAAAATGTAAAGTGAGAGATGTTATAACACAATCAAGTACACTAACACCTCATACCCACTCAATACGTATTCACGATATTCATGACGTAATACATCACAGGTGGTTTCCCATATCTGATACGAACATGATCGAGTTAAAAGAGCCAAATTTGAAGTATCGAGGTACCGTTGAATTTTTAGTAGATTAATTTAATCCGTGAGCCGTGATAGCTCAGTGTCCGGTTGCTCGCCTTTAATTCAATATACTCGAGCAACCTGAGTTCGATCCCCTATGCCGACACCAATGAAATTGTCAATTTTAAGTGCTGAATTATCACGTGTTCAACGGTGAAGGAACACATCGTAAGGAAACCTGCATATTTTCGAAATAATAACAAAAAAAAATATTTCGAAGATATGTGAAGTCCACCAATCCGCAGTGGGGCCGCGTGGTGGACTACGCCCTGATACCCTCCGTATAGAGGAGGCCTTTGCCTGCATTGGGACATGTATAGACTGATACTTTACTTTTTAATTTAATATTTAACATCCTACATTATAAACTTATTTTGAAAACTTTGGATTCAATATATTTGTAGCAGTAAAGATTTTCCTTTCGACTATACACAGACACAATGAATCTTTTAATTAATAAAAGTGTTCTTGGAGTTGATGCATGTGATGAGACCTTTTATTATATTTTTATCATACATTTCGATATACCAGCGCAATGGGCTGAATTCAAATGCAAGAATACAAACATGAGGGAAGAGAAAATATCGAACAGGTCAAGTAAGCACGCTCGATGAATTTGAATAAATCTCCGCTAAGATCAGTTGTTATTATGAGATCGTATTATTCAATAGTCAGCTCCATGCAACCGAGTGGGCGCTCCACTGACAATACAATCCGGTATAAATCTCGTGCATTTTTGCTTCTGCTCGCTTTGCATGCTTCACATTCTATTGGAAACCTAATGGAGTAATAATTTTTTTAACAGTATTTCATAATTAATCTTCCCTTATTCTTACTTTGAGCAAATGAATTGGCATTACTGTACATTCCCAGCGCCAAGTAACTATGTTAGTAAAGGTGTTATAGAAATTAATCGTAAGATTAAAAAAAAATATATTTTCTCAATGAAGGTATCAAGAATTCATCGAATAGTAATAAAAAATTTAAATATAATATGTGGTCCATGCGGTCCCATATTAATTTCATTGGTATTGGATTTTGAGCTCCAAAGATTTGTAAGGAACCCTGATAATCAATTATAATATGAATAGAGAACAGAGCGAGATATTCGAAATCGGTTTTGTTCTTCGTTAGTAAAAAAAAAAATGACTTGTTGTAACTAATAAACTTATCATTATTACTATTTATTTTGTCGCGTTTGGAAGAAACTATGATAGCTCCAGGCGCCGGTGCCAATACCTTATCAGCTGAGCCACGTTTTCTGCTATATCTAATGTTTAGTAAAATATGTATTGTATTATTGTACAGAAAAAATATTTCGTAAAAGCTGTTTCAGAAAACATTGATTGTTTATTTTTTTGGGAACAGATGGCAAGCGAGCAGGTGGTTAACCTTATGTTAAGTGATTACCGTTGCCAACGTCTCCCATCATAAATATTGCTGCTGGGCCAATTATATTAATGTTTATTAAAAACTGATGTTATTACATACAATATGCTCTCTAAAAATATTACATTATAGTTTAAAAAACTAAAAAAATACGCTTTTGTAGATAACCAAACTAAAAAGTAGAAAATAATTTTAAATTAATTTTAATTATGAATAGTGTGATTAACAATAAAAATATATTTTAGAAAAACGCTAAAAGATATAATATTTTAATGACAGAATACCTACTGGTAAAAGTAGTCATACTGGAAATATCTTAAAAAACATCCGACGGTTTTCTGCAATAAAAAATTAAAAATTTTATAACGGTTGGGGCACTTTCCTTTTTTCAAATCGCAACCCTGCATATTATCGTAGCAATGTTGCAAATTACAAACTTAGCACGATACACTAGCGAGAACAATACAAAATTTATTAAACCTAATAAATACGCCATCAAATTAAACGTGTAAACGGCTCGGCAGTTTTAATTAAACTTGATGCCGATGTAGGTTATCCCACCGATAAGCGTGAATGTAAAAATAAAGAAAGTACTAAAGAAAATACTCATACCGTTTTCTTTTTTTTTTTTTGTTTTTTTTTTAACATTGCCCTTACTTTAGGATAACATTATCCTGTGTTGTAAGGACGTTTTACATACATAAATTTCACGTGGACAAACACCCAGATGCGAAACAACTATCTGCGGGTCGCACAAATAGTTGTGCCGTGTGGGAATCGAACCCACGACTCCCGACACCGAAGCCAATACCTTGGCGATAGCGCCACGGAGTCATCAAAGTTTTCTATCTTTTCTTCTGTAATGGTTAGAGAATGTCAATTAGTTGCTGCTCGATTATTAATATAAGTTTTTTTTTTTTTTTATGCGAAAAGTTGTCAAACGAGCAGACGGTTCACCTGATGTTAAGTGAATACCGCCGCCCATGGACATCTGCCACACCCGAGGGTTACAGATGCGTTGACAACCTTTTGAAAATGGGGCTCCGGCTACCTCACTCACCAGACGTAACGAGAAAGTATCTGTCATACTTCCACTTGACGCCGGTCTTCTGTGAGGTCGTGGTACTTACCCGGACGGGCCTGCCCATTCGTGCAACAGCCGAGGTTGCTGCGTGGCCCTACCACCGTAAGTTTGTACGGCCTCACGTATTTGTGTAGCAAATTTCCCAGCTTCACTATGTTAATACGACTGATCATGTCTTCTATCTTCGTAGCTATTGTGAAAGCTAATCGGATATAACACTTGTAAAGTTGTTAAGCTGTACCGCGGTACTAACTCGATCTGGCATTCTTATGTACTCACCATTAACTGACGGGATTTTAGAAATTTAAATTGTTTATAGTGCTAATCTTTGCACTTAAGATTGAACATTAAAATATGTAGAAGCTAGCCGTTTAGCTCAGTGGCTAGAGCGTCAGGCCGCGAATGCCGAAGACGTGGGTTCGATTCCCACAGCGGCGACAATCTTTTCGCACTTTTTCTACATATTTTAATGACGGGATTTTTTTTGAAAATTGAATCTATTACCAATAAGTTTTATTGTAACAACACGGTGGTTATGACTAGCATTAGGAATTAATCAGAAAAATTAATCAAAAAAACGCACAATAACCGGAAACCTTTATTTCTAACATCAATTACATTGTAATCATAGGGATATTGTGATATTGTGCTTGTAATTTTTGTAGATCTAAGTTTACCTTTTCCGTAATTTGTAAACGTTACCTCGATTTTAAATAAAATAATTTAATTTTTAATGTACACTATGTGGGAATGAAAAGAGATTTATTGTTAAAATTTATTGAGTATCTTATCTTATCTTAATTTTATAAAGATATATAAATTAATGTTCGCTAGATGTAAGCTATGATGATGTAAGCTTAACAGTGATAACGGTTTATTTGAGGATTTAGAGCCAAACGAGTATACAAGTTAAATTTGTTGTAATAGCGACGAACAAATTTTCATAGGACGCCGCAAAGAAAAAAATTATATAATTATTTCATTTAACCTATGTTATAATTTGTTTATTCTATGTTGTGAGAATCCGTACCGTTCAAATTCTGTTACAGTTTTTGTTTTTAATTTAACATGACTAGTGGCCGGTTAGAGCTACATGTATTACATAAACGTAAAAAAATATTAATCAATGGTATAAAACCCGATAAACGTAATAAATTGTCACAGATTATCTCACGATTTTTATTATAATTCACTATGAGAAATGCTTGATTATAGAAACATATATATTATTAATGAGAAGAGAAAAATTTAATACTTGATTAGTCACTAACAACATCATTGTCAATCAAAGCGATGGATAATACGACAATTTTTTTTTGAAATTACAATTTTTGTAAGTAATAATATAACTGTTGCTCTTTTTTTAGACTTCTACACAGACTAAATGAGAATGAGTATGAACGAAATTCCATTAAACGTGGGGTGTCCACACGTCCATATCGGCAACCCAATTACGACAACCAATGGCCTGAAGATTGATCCCTAGAGCGCATTTTCAATGCCATTACAATTCTGTTCCCAGTTACGGAATGTGGGCCTTGCGATGGGACTCATCGAAAATTATGCAAATTGACATGTAATGGAACGAATACTATGACATACGAAACTACACGTCCGTTTATTATAAATACAAATTATTAAATACAAAAAAGTCGATTCAATTTGAATAAGTACTTAGTAATATTTAAATTATAAGAAAAAAACAAAGTCGTGGCTCGCTTACGCAAAGCATTAGTAAATATTGATAAATTTTTTACTTATGTTCTTTTCACTATTGCCTAATTTAATCAATATATAGGTATCAAAAATTATATCAGGGATGATTTTATAAAATATGCTATATCGTAGCAATAAAAACGGCATTTACTGTGTTGGGATCAAAGCTTGTTTACCTACTTGTTTTTTGTGTCTTAAACCATTATTTCATACGAAACCCATATTGTCGTAGCTAATATTCAATTATGGGGTGTTATTGTATAAGCGGGATTTGTCTCAGAATATTTTGCTTTCATTAAAAAACCATAGACCGTTCAGCACAATCGCATATAAGATTTATATAATCTTAACCCTTCATGTTATAATATTTCACATGAAAAACTCAAGTAAGCTTCTCATCAAAGGACGATAAACTAGCTAGAACAAAATAGAATTTAATAAACGCTAATAAATACGCAATCTACTTAAGCGTGTAAGCGGCTACAAAATGTTTCAATTAATCTCAAGGTGGTTGCTGTAGTTGGAAAGTATGAGATTAAAAAAGAATTTACCGAATAGATTTTTCATGGCTGAAATAATTTTCTCCAACACTTTTTTTTTTGTCTCGATGTTTCTCATAGATTATATGTTTCGCAGTTTTTGTTGCAGTTATGTGTTTAAATTTTCAACAGTGTTTTGTAATCACAGGCCATCAATCTCAGCACAAAGAGCTGAAATAATTTTGTGATAAGCTATAATTGTAAGTTTTCAACTTTTTTCGATAGACGCTAATTTGTCTGCTTTTAACTGACATATAGGCCAATAAATAAACATTTATTGTGTTTTTAGCCTAAAAATAATTTTTGTAGAGAAACCGTTTTTCACATTACGACATTATTTTTTACATTAACTTTTTTATTGGTATAACTTAATCATCATCTTCCTGCCCTTATCGTTGAAAGCGGTTTTGACTGTTTTATACGACGTGATGTCAGTACTTAGTAGTTACAGGGAACAAACTCCCAGGTCCGGGACAATTATTTGTGGATCACACAAATACTTGTCCCGTGTGGGAAACGAACCCGAGGCCTTCTATGCCGAAAGTAATAAGCTTAGCTATGGCAATGAGTCATCATTGGTATAACTTAATAAATTTTATAATTCATAAAAACAACTGATTTTCTTGATAGGTCAAGCGTGCTGTTGTATAAGCCAACTGTGTACAGTGTACAGTGCGCCATACCGAACCTGCCACCAAATTTATCCCTAGTCAGCACATTTTCAACACAGTATTGTATTGAAAATCAATTCGCCACGAGCATTCGAAACGGTAACACTTCCGTGGTAATATTAACGCTATGGTCATAATTGCCTTTCTTGTGATAGCGTGCACTTTTCTGTTTTCGCCGTTTCGTTTGAATAATTTAGGGTAGGTACGCAAGGATCTATTTTCAGTCACTTTCATTTTTATTTTATTTTCAAAGGTTTCCCATACAGGTTTTATTTTATTTTTTTTATTTTTTTTTCATCAGGAGATTTTTATTTATTTTTTCATTTTCACAATCACAATGATTGTGAAAATGAAAAAATAAATAAAAAAAACCCACTGTTTTCTCTTTCTTTTCTTTATTCATCTTTCTCGAAAATGTTGTTAGCTATTTCCCGCTATATTATTGAAACAATTCTATATTTTCCAATTTATATCCTCCCGCCTTACCAACTTATTTAGCGAGTTTCCCCGGCTCCTCTATTTTATAGTTCCTAGGTTATTACGGTTAGCTATTGTGAAAGTTTATAAGATAGAACACTTTAGAATTTAAAAAGCCACGCCACGGCGACAACTCGATGCGGTTTTTACCTATACACTCAGCAAAGCTACGTAGGACTACGGCTATATAGAATTTTTGATATAAGTCCGCTACGAAAAAATTATAATCATCGAAGTCCATATCAAAGTCGAGTGTAGATAGCTCTTGCATACAAATGTCGTGAGGATGAATTGCAATGCAAAACGGAATTAATAATTGATTGTTTAGTTGATTTTAGAGCAAAGTTCTTAGTCCTTAACCTGTTGTCTTGTCGTATTTGTTAAGGAAAACTTTTCCATTTTTAAAGATAATGGGGTTCCGTACCCTTCGGGCGCGAGTCGGACTCACACTTGGCCGGTTTTTATTAAAACGTACTGTATCCTAACTAAAAATGTTTCGTCCCGTATACGTGTATTTTTATATATGATTCGTTTTAGTACTCCTCGTTGCGGTTAGAACTAGGCACTATGAGTCATAAAAGTTTTTATCAGCAGCCTAGGCCGTCCCATTTATGCATGGCTCAACAAAAACAGAAATGTTCATAATAAGCCGGCCAAGTGCGAAGGGTTCCGTACCATTTTCTATGGATTCCATTTCTATGGTACGGAACCCATTTTCTATAAAAATGGCAATAAAATCATGTCCGTTGTATGGGAGCCCCAATTAAATATTTGTCATTCATTATAGCGGCAACAGAAATACATCTGTGAAAATTTCAACTGTCTTACTATCACGGTTCATGAGATGCAGCCCGGGGTATACCCTGAAAAATCAATATAGCTAGGTATTATATCATTATTTGGATTTTATTTTGTTTCAATATACAAACAGTTACTATATTTTCATTGAAAAAAAAAAAGTTTTCTCTATGAAGATGCATTAAAACACGACAAATAGTAATCTTTATCAAACTATCTTATCTTTAAAAAACAAATATCAAAATAAGTACTGGTCGCATGCGCCAGTTCGTCAGAGGAGATTCTATCATTTGAAAGAGCAGCAAAGAAAATAATATTCTAATGTTTTTACAAGCTCAATGTTTTGTTTATAAATTCATGCAATATTACCATTCAATATGTTATTGAAATTGTATCATCATAATTAGCTTTGGTATTGGATATAGTTGTTTATTGTGATAAGATTTATTGCTGTTTCAGATAACTTTCAGATTTTATGAAGTGTTTTGAAAATTAAAAAAGAAAATATCAGGTTAAGAATAATATTTGCTTTGAACAGTTTTATTATAGTGATTTGGAATGTTACGCGACAGTTACCAGACATGGAGGTAAGCATAAAAAGGCCGAAGACGAGAATGGAGCGTTAACACGATCAAAATTATAGCATTAATTAAACCTTTGGTGACAATTACTGTTTATTGCCACTTCCTCCACATTTTATTTTATGGGGTATATACAAAGAAAATATTAATGAAACACTAGAAAGATTTTTAGCGCCAAAATAAATCTGAGTTTCAATTAAACGTCTGTGGACATTACGAAATATAATCTCCCTCGGTATCCGTTAAAATAACCCAACGACTTTCAACTTTGTAATAAAGTAAACTATAGCCACTTTGCAGTCTTTGGAGAATAACAAAATTCTGAAACCTTCAAATTAAATTGAACGACAGAAATAAAATGATTGAAGAGATTTGAATGATTCAGTGGTTACGGCTTCTAGACAAGTTACAGAGTTTACAGTTAAAAAATGTTCCTTGATTAATATTAACAAATATATAAAAAATATTTAGTTAAAATAGACTGATTTAAAAAACACAACATAGACTGAAAATTGACTGACAAAAATTGTTTAAAATAGACTGATTTAAAAAAAAAAAAACTGACCATGCAGTTTTTTCATCCCAAAAATGTGTATATTTAAAATAAAAATGGAAAAGGAAAGTATGTGGCAGGGAATTCAATGTATTATTTTAATTCTGTGTATGCACCATTTATTCAAACATGAGTACAGTGAAATATGCTTCATTACAATGAAACAACTTTTCATTAAAATTATTATTGATTTATTGATTTATTTTAAGGAATTAAGTTTTCCTTAAATGTCTAAAAGAAATCGTAGTATGCGGCGATATAAGTATTGATTGAAAGGATATTTTGAAATGTACAGTACAATTTTTTCATTTTCCAACGCAAAGTAAAAAAAGCAGAACTAGCATCGACCATATTTTATTTGCGTCACACGTCAAAATTGACACGTGTCAACCGCCGCGCCAATCTGACATGCGTGCGGTGAACTGATGCGTGTAACCTGTTACAGATAACTGGCCACTGCTACGTAGGGTTGTGTAGGACGAAAAAATAATTTCACCGTTTTGTGTTGGTTCACGATATTACATGAAAGTAAAATGGTAAATCAGTGGCTAACACTCATCTAGTAAATAATTATATACAGCGTGTCTTTACAATCGCGACAATAAATGAACACACATATAGGGGATAACTTTTTAAAATTGTGTTAAACATTTACATTCTTAAAAAATCAATATATACAGAGTTATTAGATTTTCCAAAACAAAGTATTTTAGAACACCCTTACCTATAAAACTGTAACGTAAAGTTCATTTGTAAAGGTCACAAAACATATGAATGAATGGGTTTAATGAATTTAAAAGAGACAAAACATACTGTTAGAAGGAGAGGCTTGTAATACGACGCTGTGGCGCGAGTTGTATAGGATGTTACAAATTTTGTTTCTTTTTTACGTAATTAGTTTATTTGAAAAATATATTTTTTTTTAATTATGGATTTTGTTTGACGTTAATATTTTTCATGATTATTAGTATTAATTTTGCGATGGTAACGACACGCTGTATAAGTAAGGAATTCTATTAGGTTATCTAACGTTAGTGGTTGTAGTAACGATTTAACCTATTGCGTTGGATCCATTTAGCCTGAAATACTAATTCTAGTGAAAACAGTCTAATTAACTATAACAATTAGTTTTGCCAAACGAAATGGTTGAATATACAAAGTCCTTATAAAACACAGTTTCAACTTGCCTACAGACGAGACGAGGTCATGGTTTTCAACGTCATTGACATTAACTGGGCCCCGGTCAGACCTCATGTCCACAACAGTAACCGAATTACAGGGACCAGTGGTCCGAAGATTCATCCCTGGAGAGCTATTGGCAGCATCAATGCCATTAGAATTCCACATCTGGTTTGGGAATTTACGAGCCTTGTGATTTTTAGCGAAAGTCATGCAAATTGATATTGACGTAGTTCAAATGACAAGTGGACTTCGTTCATCTTCCAATTATAGAAAAAATTAGACAAAGATCAGACAAGTTCATGAGTGGTTCGCAAAAAGTGATAAACTGTTAAACAATCATGGTCTAAAGTCTGGAAAGGGCTCGAAATGTTGGAAATTTAAAAACAAATTGAAACGCGACAAAACCCGTAATATGTCCCTAGATCCTATGTGTACGGAAATTTTTAGGACGAAGGGACTGAAAGCAAACGCTATTATTATTTTGAATATTTTTTTATAACCTATAGAAAGTAATTATTGGACGTATAATCATAATATTATTTAAATAAAGTTGTATTAATATCCACATTGTTTTTATCCAAAATTTCTCCTGTAATCCTGTGTTGTAAGGACGTTTTACAAACATAAATTGAACGAGGACAAACACCCGAAATGCGAAACAACTCGGGTCGCACAAATAACTGTCCCGTGTGGGAATCGAACTCACGACCCCCGACACCGAAGCCAATACTTTGGAAACTGCGCCACGGAGTCATCCTATGAGTGACAAAATACTATTCTGGGTAGGTTAGCTTACGTACGATTGGTTACATATTATTTTAGTAAATATTATCGCCCCGTTCATAAATACAATATTAAAAAGCAAAGTTGACTTAATTAGGTGTATCTTGTTGCACGAATGGGCAGGTCCTTTTGGTTAAGTACCACGACCTCACAGAAGACCGGCGTGAGGAAGTGTTATACTTTTGCGTTTCGTCTGGTGTTTGAGGTAGGCGCGGCTCACTTTATTAAAAGGACGCTCTTGGACGGAATAGTTCATTCCCAAAAATTTTTTTAGGCGCAAGGTGTTCTTTAAATTTTTGTGATCTTTATCTCTATGAAATAAGACTATATTATACAAAAGGCGGTAGACCTTCATACTAAATCCACTTCATGTTAGTCTTAGTCAAAGTTCTCGTAATTGGGGAAGTATGAATGAATTAATGGATGGAACGCGTGTTGTCATCCATGAATGAATATTACGGATCAGATTTACTTTGACTTTGCTCGAATATCATTTCAATGTTTTTACTTATTTTATTTCTTACTCGTATTTTCATTTAGTTCCTATTCGTTTGATAGAATACCAATCGGGTAGTTACGTTATCTGTATTTTCTTAGACTGCTTAATTCTTAGACAAGTGATAATTACTTTTGACATTTATTAATCATATTTTGATGAATAATAAAACAATTCAATTAACATTAAGTTTATCCTTTTTAGGGTTCCTTACCCAAAGAGTAAAACGGGACCTTATTACTAAGACTGTCTGTCCGTCTGTGACCAGACTGTATCTAATGAACCGTGATAGCTGGACAGTTGAAATTTTCACAAATGATGGTATTTCTGTTGCCGGTATAACAAAAAAATACTAAAAAAAAAGAATAAAAAATATTAAAGTTGGGCTCCCATACGACAAACATGATTCTTTTGCCGTTTTTATAGATAATGGTACGGAACCCTTCGTGTGCGAGTCCGATTCGCACTTGGGCGGTTTTAAAAAATACCTTGTCTTTTCACGGTGACAGAACGTTAACGGAAGCCATCCGCTCGTCCATTGAAACAATTCTGCGGTTCCCAATTTATATCCCCATCCAATATATTAATCGAGTCGGCTCCACCATACCGAAGTTCCACTCAGTTATCGCGGCGGACCGGGCCCTCCGTCTAAGCTATAGCGAAAGTTCAGCAGATAAAACACTTCGGCAGTTATAAAGCCACACCGCGGTGCTAACTCGACGAAGCAGCTCGCTAATGTGCTCGGCAGAACTACTGTTGTGCAGGTGTGGTGGAAACTCCTGCATTACCCACCCAAAAAACTTTAATTACTTATCGTTGAAATGGGTAATCATTCGCAGGCATATCGGATTTAATTTCACTGAAACATATAACTTAATCAGTTGATTCATTCAGCACGTGTCAAGGAAGATACAAAACTAATTTTCTTTTATCTTGAAATTAAAAAAAAAAACATTTGAATTTATGATTAAGTTTTATACGTTTATCGTACAATATAAAGTTATCGGTATACGTAAAAATATAGCGCTTTCATCATATAACATTTAATTCTATGGAAATTGCTTTTCTTATCGTTAGTGTTATCGTTTATATGAAACCGAGATAAATATGCCATTTGTCAAGCTGTACAAATGTTCATTAATATATCTATCCAAAGTGTTGCAGAGCACCGTTACAAGTTATCCAGAGGTATTTTTAATGCCTCTATAAGGACTATACATTTAGGCATATAAATTTATTAAGTACCCGGAGGACCGTGTAAATCGTGTATTTTGGAAATTACATTTAGATACAAATTACTGAGTAATGAAATATGCATAATATTTTTAGATCTTAGCGACGTAATAATAAGAAAATATGAACTGATGTTTTTCACAAAAGAAAGAACTTAAAAAAAAGGGGAAAAAAATAACAAATCGACAAAAAATTAAAAATAAAGAAAGCAATGATCTGGAATCGAAAAAAAAGTAAAAAAATAAATGTGTAAATGATCGTGACGCAAACTACGGCCGTCTGTTTTGGGGCCGCCCGATTACCAACCGAGCTATTATGACATTTTCTCTTGCGGCGAAATTTAGCGTCATATTCGAATTATATTTTTCATTCCCTGAAAACAGGGATAAAAGGACATTTTCTAAAAATGAAACCTAGCTGGATCGATTTTTCGCCCCCGAATCTATGCACATACTAAATTTCATGAAAATCGCTGGAGCCGTTTCCGAAATTCCGATTATATATATATTTATATATATATATATATATTATAATCGATTATACATATATATAGTCCTTTTCCATAACTTGTTTGATCCAGCAAAATTAAAAGAGTACTTTGTTGATCCACCTTTCTATCCAAATTTCTTTGCCCTTAAGCTTTATTTTAAAGGCCGGAAAGCATATATTTGAACAGCGTAGTGTGTCGTTTAGACATATTTCTAAATTCAGCAATATACTCTAACCGTTAGAAATTTAAATTGTTTATAGTGCTAATCTATGCACTTAAGATTGAACATTAAAATATGTAGAAAAAGTGCGAAAAGATTGTCGCCGCTGTGGGAATCGAACCCACGTCTTCGGCATTCGCGGCCTGACGCTCTAGCCACTGAGCTAAACGGCTGATTACCACACCGACGAAAATCTTAACGCATTCTTCCACATTGTTTTCTTAGCATTTGAAGCAATGCTTGGAATGCCGAAGACGTGGGTTCGATTCCCACAGCGGCGACAATCTTTTCGCACTTTTTCTACATATTTTAATACTCTAACCGTTGTTTTATACTTTTTCAAAGTATTTGTGGCTCCGCGTAACGGTTTTTTCTCTGGCACTTTTTAAACATTTCTTGATCCCTGTGAGCGCGCATACGCAGCTCGACGTCAGTGCTCGTAAAATTAATTCCACAGTGTTTGTAATAGGAACTGAATTTCTATGTACATTTTCTATTGAGTAAACTGTTACTATATGTCGAATATAATAACGTAGATAAATATAATTGACAAAGTGATGCTTATACCCTATTTCTTATTAATTAGTTTACCATAGGATGCTAGTGAATAAATAATTTAATATTGTAGATATTATCGCTTGATATTAATGAATCCTTGGGACATTATCAAAATACCTACTTACTATAAAGTGTATAGTTTTGTTGTTATGCTTGTTAGCACATGCAGCCTGTATTAGTTCGATTGAGGTGAAGCCCAAAATGCTGTACTCCTAATGTATGTATCATAAAACTACCCCGATGTATGTATCATACATTTAATAAAAATGTAACTGTTTGTTGTTTGTACATAGAAGATATTTGCGAAAAACCATTATTAGGGGCCTTTATCAACGCAGTAGAACCCAAAACAATTATAGTTAAAATTATTGTCTGTTTATCTGTTTTTCTGTGTGCTCTAACTTGGCTAATACGGCCTTTCCGATTTCAGTGCAACTCTTTTACAAATGCATTGTAGTAAGCTTCTCTTAACATTTATTGTTAGTTTTATTTAAGTCGGATGATAAATAAAATAGTTATATCAACTTAAAGAACCACATTGTAGATTTGTGCGATGAAACTATAGCTAACTATGGTCTGTAAAATGATGGTTTATATAAAGTTAAAAAAAATCGCCCAAGTGCGAGTTGGAGTTGCGCACGAAGGGTTCCATAGGTATTTTTAAGCACGATATAATGTGCGGGCGAAGCCGCGGGCGCAACTAGTTGTACAATATATTGCTACTATTGCACTAGGAAACGGATCAACAACGGTCGCAATGTAATGCGACAAATGATGTAGTGTGAAAATTTCTTTATAGAGACGAGGATGACAATATTTTAGTTTAATTTTAACTGTTAAATTTGTTTACAAGTCATTGCTCAACTCATTATCAAATATGAGTTTGGTTACAAGAGAATAAATTATTATTATTTATTATGTAATCAATAGTGTTATTTAAGCTAGTGCTATTCAGTGGGTTAAAGTTAGATTAGTTAAGAGATAATGTGCGATTTATCGGACAAATCTTTACATCAAAAGGGACTCTAAAAGATTATTTTAACCAAATAAAATAGAATATTAAGGAATAAAAAATATAGTTCTTTCTAGACACATGAATAAATAATAATAGGACGAAAAAAAATTAAGATTATTTCTATGTAGTCTAACCCAGAATATTTTTGTCACTTCTTGAAAGAGTTTAGAAAAGATTGCCAAAAGATTTCTAATTTTTCATTGTTTTATTACCAATCTAAGGCATTGAAATATGAAAAACGTTAATAAATAAATCAAGATTTTTTTAAATTTTTTGATTATTCTGTTCCTTTAAAAAAATTAATTGAATTGTAATTATTATAAATAAATACATTGTTTATAAGATTTTCAATTTTTTCCCTTTAGGAATATGATGGTTAATGAAAATATGACATTTAAAAAAAATTTTCACTGCTAAAAAC